AATGAATTCGTCAGATACAAGTTCGGCTTTATTTAATAATAATTCAAAGAAATCATAAGGGAAATTATATTATAAATTATAAGAGGAAGTATAAGAGAAATCAAGATTACTGGCAGGAATAGCATTCTGTATTCAAGAGCCTTATACGGCCTCTCTTTCCTTTCCATGGCCATCAACTTGCCTTTTGTTAAAGGATTTTTTTTAAATCCGGCTGTGTTTCGGTGTCGGGAATCTGCGGGAAACCCACGACACAAAGCTCCAGTGGCTCAGGGGAATGGGGTGTCCGGGTGGGGTGGGGTCGGCAAACGAGGTGTCCCCAATCTATTGAAGAAACGCTTCCCGGGGACACACCCAAAATTCACGTTCCGGAGAACCTTGCGGCAATGTTCGCTCTGGGGGCAAAAACAAAGCGAAGCAACGAGAGCGAGAGGCAGCGAGACAGAGGGAGAGTCCCAGCGCATGCTTGTTGATATGATGAGGTCCTTAGAAAGATCCTGAGCGACATGTGTTTTGGATTTTGTTTTCAATCAAAACTTAAACTATCATGTGGCAAACAGACAGTTCGGTGACTTTTTTTGATTCCTAGACTCTCAACATGACATGGAACTTTGACCTCATTGAAATATTTTGTTTTCAAGCCAAGGATTTGTTTCTTTGTCGTCAGAGACCAAAACTTGAATTATCGTGCGGCAACAGTTTTTCGATCAGACACCTTTTCAATACCTTGTACTTAGCAACATCACATCGCGCAGACAAATCAACTCATTTGCCAACTTGCTTGTTCTTAGTTTCCGTATGTGGTCCTACACCTGCACACATGCACATGCATGCCATGTAGAAATAAAGGGCCATGACTTAAAGACCACACATTACTAGTAGCGTTGCATCCTGAGTTTTCGAGTACTGGTCGTGTCGCGATATTATAAAAGTTGGGACTTCGTAACTACTTTCAAGTTACGTAGTTGTAGACTCCGGAACCCCACAAGCCCTAAAGCCTGTAATTTAGTAATGCCCTTCTAGCCTTAAAGCCCCTATAGTCCTAGATCTCTAAACACCTGTAAAGTGCATGTATGATCTTCTAGCCCTAGGTCCCGAACCCCGCGTTCTTTTCAGGGCCCTGCAGGCAAGCCCGGGGAGAAGTTCAACAGTTGTGCCGTGATGGCGCAGACGACGACGATTGTGCCGTGATGGCGCAGACGACAAGACCGACGACAAGATGTGCCGTGATGGCGCAGACCGACGACCAAATGTGCCGTGAGGGCGCAGACGACGACGCATGTGCCGTGATGGCGCAGACGACGGGACAGCGACAGATGCGCCGTGATGGCGCAAGGATCAATTGGGAGAAGATTGAGTAAGAGCATCCTGTTAGGACCCGAAAGAGGTGAACTATGCCTGCGAAGGGCAGAATCAGTGCGCCGTGACGGCGCAGATCGAAGCGCGATGTGCCGTGATGGCGCAGATCACACACAATTGGGAGAAGTTTGAGTAAGAGCAGCGTGCGAGGACTCGAAAGATGTGCCGTGATGGCGCAGACGACACAGACGACGAGTGCGCCGTGACGGCGCAGAAGACGACGACAGCCGACGATGCATGCGCCGTGATGGCGCAAACCTCTCTCTCACGCTCTCGCTCGCACTCACTCTCTCTCCCTCCTTCCCTCTCTGAGGCCTCGCCCTCAGTGCATCTTATGCTGCGAGAGCGAGAGGAGGGTCAGGCCACACAGGCTTGCTGAAAGACTTCTTGCACGAGCAGCTACACACGTCTCAGTTGCAGAATCCACAAACCTCCAAGGCCCCGGGCTTCCCCGTCTTCTTCTAAGACGCAGCCTCAGCAAAATCCCGTGTTACTGTAGTACAGTCTTGTCAATTGCATGCTTGGGAGAATCTGGAGCCGCAATATGTAAAGGGCTCACGCTAAATGACGCAAGGCTCTCGGACTCTAGGATATTCTAGGATGTTTGAGGCAGAATTTAATTAGCATTCGATGAAGGATTGAGGATCCTCTCCCAGCAAGCAACACCTGGCATGTGAGCGGTTGCAGGGCAGACTTTGGATCCGGAGTCCCAGTGTCGCGCCGGTCTCAGCGGAAGATCACTTTGCGACGAGACGGGCATGCTCTGCTTGAGACAAACCTTACGTGCTTAGATTTATTCGAAGCAGTTCACACTCCTCAGATAGCCCGCAAGTTCTAGCTACTGCAAACAGCTCATCGCTCGACAGCCCGCTCTGGAAGATCTTATCTTTCTGCACCAAAGAAGCTTTATAGAGTCCTTATTAGCCAGGCGCGAGCGGACAGTCGGCCACGGACTCAGGAGTCGGAAGAGTCGGAGGCCCCTAGCAATGTAGCTTGGGAAATCTCGATTCTCGGCTGGACAACACGTGCAGGGTAAGACTCAGACCGTAGCCAGACCACTTCAGGCGCAAGTATGGAAGAGAGCTTCTGGCAGCATCCTGAGCATTGCAGTTGACAGTGCCAGGCTGGAAACCACAGGCGGTAACTCCGAGATGTAACCACTTCTGCAGCCTTCGCAGCTGCTCTGTGATGGGCTTGGCTTCTGATAATGAGCATAAAACCTATAATCCAAGCTTCAGTCATGGCATCTGCCCTTCAATCTTCGTCAGCGGCTAGGGCTGCTAGGCACTTCGGTGGGAACCAACTTCTCCTGAGGTAGGCAGTCTATAGTCTAGCAACTGTATGCTTGAAAGACTTGTTAACAGACCACTGGTGCCTCGGCGGGCGAGGTCGAGGATCGCAATGGCGTGGACAAGGCCTGCTCCTGCGCAGTGGATGATCATGCGGAATAGAGAGCTCCTTGGGCGCAGGTCTTGACGTCCCTTCCCCCCCTTTGAAACGATGTGAAAATTTGGTGGTCTTTATCAAGAGAGTCCTGGTGAAGCGGTACTTCCGTAGGCTCCACAGGATTTTTGGATGTTCTACAACAGAGAAAAGCAGAGAAATATCATAAGCCACCAATGCAGCCCATGAGCAGTCGGCAGCACTGCCAGAGTCGGCAACGAGGAGAAGGGGCTGATCCGGAGCTCCTTTCATCACATCATGTTGTTGCAATGGGTAAGACCTTGGTGCTCTTGTGACACGAATCCTGGCGGAGCTGCAGCTGCAAAGCCATACATCGGCCCTGCCAGGCACATCTTCCAATGCAAGATTCACGGCGCGGCTGCGGCATCTGCACGCGCCTCGGAGTCGTCGAGCTTGCGTTGCATCGTCTCCATTTCTGCACGATCAGTGCAGCGCTGCTCCTGCTCAGCAGGAGCTGACACCAAGACAGGAGGCATGCCGCACACAGACATGCCTCGAACTTCAGCTGCATGAACAGCTCGTTGTCCTGTCAACAGCATAGTAGCGGTCCTACTCAAACTGTCTACTGTTCGTGAATATGTCCATATGATGTCTATCGCCCCGCCTGCAACTGCTGGCGATAGTCCTCACTCGCCTCGGCCTTCATAATGATTGCGGATGTCTCCTGTAGCAGCTTTCTTGACTCTTGGTCCCGGAACATTTCAGACCGCCCCACCTGCAGCTCCGCCAATCGCTCCTCGCTGGCCTCCAGCGACTTTTGGGTGATCTCGGCTTCGCTGTTTGGCCCCACCCTGCCTCCAGCTCTTGCTTGGACTCGCTGGCACACGCGTTGGCATGCGCGAGCCAGGCCTGGTCCATCGGTAATCACTTACAGCTGGCTTCTATGTCTGTCTACCCACCTGCGTCTCTGCGAGGACTCCAGCATTTGCGTTGGCCTGCCGTGTTATCATTCCGACAGTAACACCTCCCTATGGTCTGACAGCCAGCCTCTCGGAGATCCTGTTCAACTTTCCTGATGTATTCCTGACAACATGTGCAGCTTATGATTCCAAGCTTGGATGTCAGAATGTCGGAGAATGCAGGGGCCTCGTCTCGCTTGTGGCGGGATATGAGCCGGGTGTTGTCTGCCACCAGGACAGCATTTCTCCTGTCCAAAGCCCTGTGACACTCCCGGGTCTCCTCCAGAACCTGTTTTTCCTCAGCTGTTTTGTCAAGGAACACGCACGAGCCCATCAATGCAGAGCTGACTCTCAAAATTGCTGCTCCGCAGCTCTCTTCAGCTCTCTCCGCATCTCCTCCGCAGCCTCGGAATGGGCGCTTTGGAACCTATTTCAACGCAACTTACCCGGTTCCTGCCTGGAGCTCTATCCTCATCTCTTTTTGCGTCTCCTGCGCTACGTAGGAATGCCGGGCTCTTTGGAACCAATTCAACCGCCACCGCCCGGTCTGCCTGGAGCTGCTCCCTGGTCTCCGTTTGGCTGGCCTTCAGAATGAACTAGCATGTTAGGGGCCTTCTGCCATTGATGATCCAATGGCCTCAGCGTTCTTCATTGCAGCCTTCTCGGATGCCTGCATCCGATACTCTGGATTTTCTGTTCCTTTTCGGACGAACAAACCAACGATTTGTTAAGGCTGGCACCTCAGTCATGGTCTCGTACTTGTTGCAGCTGGCCTGCCAAAAATAGTCTAGACTCCGTGCACTCAGTTCCTCACGTGCTGAGATTCTCGCCTCCGCCCTGAGAAGCTTTGCACGCGTGCTCTCCAGCTCTGTCCCAGCTGCTTTCAACTTCTCCTCTGCGAGAGCCTGACAGAATGAGTACGAACAGTCACTGCAGCCAACACTCTGGCGGTGGTGCCCCGGGTGACCTTCTCGCTGTTGAAAGCCCGAGCTTCTGCGAGGTTGGTCACCCGGTAAGCCTCAGTCTACGCTCTCATATCTCGGAACAAGCCAGGCGAGGTCTGGGTCTGGGTAGGCTGATGCGCCAAGTGCCCGACATCCGTAGTTGTGAGCATGCGCCGAAGTTCCGCCTGCCGTCTCTTTCTCCCTCTGCCCCCCTCCCTCTAAGTCTCGCTCTCTGTTTATCCACCTCGGTGGCTGCGCCAGCTGCTGAAGCTGCCTCCTGCGCTGGCTCTCTCTACGTCTATCCCTGCTTGTTTCCCTGCTTCCTGTAACGCCCCACCTCGGCTTGGCGAGCTGCTGCCAGTGCTTCCTGGCGTGTGATCCGTTCTCTCCTTCTGCCTTTGTCATCCAACTTCCCATCACCCCAAGGAGTCACTTGTCCCTCTGTGTCTTGCGCCTCGGCTTCCTTCACCTCCGCAGTCTTCTCCTTGAGCTGCTTCACGAGGCGCGCGCTTCGGTCGTCGCGGTTCTGCGCAGCATCGGTCTCTCGTTTCCGGGCGTTTTCACTACGGCGGTCAACGTAGTGACCGTAGTAGGAGTTCCATGCCCGGGAGCCGTCCGACCCCGAAGCCATGCCTGCGCTGGTGTTGTTGATGCCCGTGCTGGTGCTGGTGTTGCTGATGCTTGTGCTCGTGCTGGTGTTGCTGGTGCCCGTGCTGGTGCTGGTGTTGCTGATGCTTGTGCTCGTGCTGGTCTTGCTGCCTCTGATGTGCTGAAACGTGCGGATGTTCCATAGCATGATTGGCATACCAACAACTGGTCTTGCTGCCTCTGATATGCGGAAACGTGCGGATGTTCCATAGCATGTGAAGTTCAGGCAGTCGCATGTCAGCCAGTCATTTATGCACTGCACTCGAACACGGTGTGGAACACTGTCTGCTGAGGCTATGACAGTGCCACCGAGAGGTGCCAGCCTGAGCACACTTCAGATATCAAAGAGCTGAGGCATCAGGGGCATTATAGGGATTAGGGTCCCGCGCTGCGTCGGTAGAGTCCCATGATTTCCGCAGATTGGTGCGGCACCAAACTTCCGTAGCAGCCGTAGCACTAGCAGCAGCCAAGGCCACGGCCGGCATTTTGGTTCTCGGCTGAAGGCCGGGAGCTGGTTTGCCCAACCTAATGCCACAGGGAAGTTTAATCGGTACCAGCTAGAAGCCAGGCAGAAAGCCCGACACCCCTCTATTGAACCAACAGAACAACCCGAAACCAGACTTCGGAAGTGCCGCTTCCGAAACGAAGTGATTTAGGAAGCGGATTCGGAAGTGGTTTAGGAAGTGGTTTAGGAAGTGCCCAAATCAATGTCTGGAGCTGTCAAATCGACCTGCGCAGTACTTACATGGTATCTGCTGCAGCATGAGTCACTTTCTTTCCCCCTTTTTTTGGCTAGCCTTCTGATGTGCGCAAGATTCAACAATGTCTCCCGGGGATAGAGGAAATTCAGCAAGCCCTACCTTGGGTTCCGGCTGTATCTGCTTGCAGCTGCTACAGGCCATGCCAGCATCGCTGCAGGCAACGGTTGTGGGCCAGTGGTGGGCCAACCTTCATGCGTAAGCGTTCGGTGACTGCGAGGGTAAAGTGACTCACGTTAGCCGTTGCTGCTGCGCAGGCATGAGACAGTACATAAATCATGGAAACAACATGTATTTCTGCATCTGCTGCAGGTTGACGCCTGCTACACAGCCGTCCGTATGGGCCGGCGGCCTAACTGTGGGTCTGTGCCCGTTCCACTGCCGTATTATACAGCCCTAGACAGCATCTATTGTGGCCTTCGTTGAATCTCGAGCAGCATTGCAAGCATCAAGACGGCGGACCCCACTGTTTCCGAAATGCAGGATTTAAAAATCATTCCTGCTGAAACTAGAGCTCTGCTGCAGACAAACCCATTGATTTCGAACTTCTCACAGATCCTCCCTCCGGGTGCATCGAATCTTTAGTAAGGTTCCTTGTGTTCCTTTGCCAAGCTTCTGTTGCCCCATCTTACCAACAGGGTTCAGGGCACACGTCCATGGCCGCTTCTGCGTGGATCGGTCTCCAGCTTGCCTTGGCCCTTCGCGACGCGGCCGCTGTGGAGGCTGCCGAGGGAGCTTCTGACTTGGAGATGCAGTCCGAGGCGGTTGCTGCAGAGCCTCCAGATGACACTTCCGAGGCCAATGGACATGAGGGGCCCGCTCCACATACTCCCACGTACATGGAGAACCTAATATACAGCCTGCGCCGCCGAGTGGAGGCGCTGGAGTCGGAGATTGCTTCGTTGCGCTCCTGGACCAGAGACGGCTTCAGGCAGTGGGAGGCCGACCGAGCTGCTGTTCGACATGTGCTGGACCGCATCGGGGCCCTGGAGAGGGAGGTCACAGCTCAGGGAGAGCTCGTCAACGAGCTCATCGACCGCCTGAATCGCTGAGTACATGTTGCATCGCAGCTTAAATTTTGGACTTCCTGATCCACTCGCTCGTCCTCGAAGGTTCTGCAGTGCGATCCGTTTCATGCTTCGGGCGGCTCTTGAAAACACGTGCTCATGACGCCTTGCTTTTGACGGTTCTGCCAGATCAGAATTGCAGGGGGGATTTCTCTGCGCCTTTTGGGCGTGGTGCTTTCAGGGGTTCGGACTTCTCCGGCCATCATGATGTTTGGATGCATCGTGCAATGCACCTCAAGCGGACCTGCACCCTCAGCCCGTTGAATCCGGATTATGCCTGCTTGCTGCAATCACGAGGTCGCGAAGCTGGTGCCGAAAGGGCGGCAAGCTCAGCTGCAGAGTTTGCTGCTCCTTTTCGCGCAGAGATATCGAAGGCAGAAAGGAGCCAGCAGGTATCAGAGAGGGTTGTCACGCCAGCTGCTGTGGAGTACGAGCAATCCCAAGAAGCCGTTGAAATCCGTTGAAACTCGCTGCATGTGAGCATTCCCGGAGTTCCCAGTTCCGAGGTCAAGCTGCGCGAATTGAACGTGTGCTCCGAATGTCCGAACCTCAGGACCGCCGCCGTGTGCTTCCCCTGAACTTGGCGCCATCCTGATGATGTGGGGTTTACGTGGCACAGCGACATCAGATAGGCAATGTCCTTACATTGGAGGCGACCTTAGACGCTCTCTATAAGGTAAAGGATCTAAGTGCATCTGTCCATGCAAGGTTTGTGCCAGAATAGAAGCAGGTGCACTGGAAGATTGGTTTATGAGCAAATTCATGCTTCCACGTTGCACGTCGCATTATGAGGTGTCTAGCCGCACACGTGCATAGCAACAAATTGACGGATGTCATGTGCATTATTAGCTAACGGCAACCAGCGCTTGCAGTTCCTAACTAGCAAAGCAAACACTTGACAAGTTTCGGAGGACGCCGTTTCTCTGCAGTGCATTGACTGGCTCCAGGGGTCGTGAGCCGGCTTGCGCAAGAGTCATGAGCTGGGAGCCTGAATCCTGATCCCTGAGCCTCACACTCCACTCTCGAAACACTAGCGCCCCTTACGTTTTAAGCATTCCCCTAGCAAGGACAGAAAGTGCTCGCTCGTGCTCTCTATATTGTAGGACGAAAGTTTGTTTGTCAAAACATGGGCAAGAAAGCCAAAGCAGTGGGGCTGGTGGAAGCCTGGCGAAAGCACGGGGAGCGCTGGACCTCTCGCTACCCCTGGCTCATTGCTATGAAAGATGAGTCTGGGAAAGTGCAATCGCTGGGCTGCTCTGTTTGCTGTGAGGCACCTGAAATCCAGGCTACGAAGAATGCGTTTGCAAGCTGTGGAATTGTTCATACTGCCCAGACATCTCTGTTCGATAAGCACGAGAAATCCAAAGGGCACCGCAGTCGCAGCGAGAGTATGCTCCAAGGGCCCGTGCCAGTAGTCGCACCGCCGGTGCGTCAGTTTGCGGATGTGCTGGAGGCAGTGTTCCGTGGAGATACAGAGGTTGCTAGCTGTGGTCCCTGGAAGTTCCGATGCATCGTTTGGGCTTTGGCAGAGGCGCACAGGAACAGGCTTCGCTCCAGTATAGAGCGGTCTGTGTGCATGAGCATACAACAGGATGTCAGGAATGGACAGCTGCTGGTGAAATTCACTTCTGTCGATCCTGCACTTGAATCCACTGAGGGTGTTCTGGGCCAAGTTGACCTCGAGGACAAATTTGGGCTGGATTCCAAGAGCCTTGTCCAAGGAACGTTGTATGTGTTGCACAAGTTGGCTGCCAGGGGACTTGGGCAGCCGAGCCGTGCCGAGGCTTCGACCCAAGCCGTGAGCCTGGACCGTTCCCTCGTGGAACATATGAAGGAAGTTGTGGAGGTTTTCGCGGCTGATGCGGCGCCCGACGAACAGAGGGCCGGCAAGATCTTGCGGACGTTCTTTCCGAAGCTACAATTAGTGCAATACGATAAAGCGCAGCTCAGAGAGTGCTGAGCCGAAGCTGGCCCACCGACTCGTTCATTCATAAAATTGTGGAGGACCTGGTGACGGGACCCGAGGCTATCACCCAGAAAATCCGCTACTCTGGGGTCTTCCAGAAAAGGTTTCAGGCCGCCGTTTTAAGCATTCCCCTAGCAAGGACAGAAAGTGCTCGCTCGTGCTCTCTATATTGTAGGACGAAAGTTTGTTTGTCAAAACATGGGCAAGAAAGCCAAAGCAGTGGGGCTGGTGGAAGCCTGGCGAAAGCACGGGGAGCGCTGGACCTCTCGCTACCCCTGGCTCATTGCTATGAAAGATGAGTCTGGGAAAGTGCAATCGCTGGGCTGCTCTGTTTGCTGTGAGGCACCTGAAATCCAGGCTACGAAGAATGCGTTTGCAAGCTGTGGAATTGTTCATACTGCCCAGACATCTCTGTTCGATAAGCACGAGAAATCCAAAGGGCACCGCAGTCGCAGCGAGAGTATGCTCCAAGGGCCCGTGCCAGTAGTCGCACCGCCGGTGCGTCAGTTTGCGGATGTGCTGGAGGCAGTGTTCCGTGGAGATACAGAGGTTGCTAGCTGTGGTCCCTGGAAGTTCCGATGCATCGTTTGGGCTTTGGCAGAGGCGCACAGGAACAGGCTTCGCTCCAGTATAGAGCGGTCTGTGTGCATGAGCATACAACAGGATGTCAGGAATGGACAGCTGCTGGTGAAATTCACTTCTGTCGATCCTGCACTTGAATCCACTGAGGGTGTTCTGGGCCAAGTTGACCTCGAGGACAAATTTGGGCTGGATTCCAAGAGCCTTGTCCAAGGAACGTTGTATGTGTTGCACAAGTTGGCTGCCAGGGGACTTGGGCAGCCGAGCCGTGCCGAGGCTTCGACCCAAGCCGTGAGCCTGGACCGTTCCCTCGTGGAACATATGAAGGAAGTTGTGGAGGTTTTCGCGGCTGATGCGGCGCCCGACGAACAGAGGGCCGGCAAGATCTTGCGGACGTTCTTTCCGAAGCTACAATTAGTGCAATACGATAAAGCGCAGCTCAGAGAGTGCTGAGCCGAAGCTGGCCCACCGACTCGTTCATTCATAAAATTGTGGAGGACCTGGTGACGGGACCCGAGGCTATCACCCAGAAAATCCGCTACTCTGGGGTCTTCCAGAAAAGGTTTCAGGCCGCCGTTGCAGACATGACGAGCAACCAGAAGACACGCATCCGGAACCTGACTTGCGCCAAGCATAGATGGGCCAGTGCAGCTCTTCCCTTCCGCAGATCAGTCTTGTATTGGGGTCCACTGATGCGCGTGGCGCAGTCCATTCTGGACGAGAGAGGGCGCAGCTCCCCAGAAGGAGCCATTGCCCGCAAGTGGCTTCTCAGCCTCACGCCAGAAGTAGCCCTCCAGCTGGCACTTGTCGCAGATGCCACCGACGAGACGTCGGAAGTCCTGCGTTTCTTCGACCGTGACAAGTTCAGCAGCTCAGAGACGACATCACAGGTGGACAAGTTCCTGTGCAAATGCACCTGGTTGTTCGAAAGGCAGGGAGCCTTGAAAACCGGATTCACTGCATTTATGCTGAACTCTTTGCGCGTGCCTCACAACTTCCGCGTGGATGGACAGATGCGTACTATTGCTGCACCGTCGCAGCAAGAGATTGACAGGGCTATGGGGAGGATGGTGAATTGGCTTCAGCTGGCTCGTCATACAATCAAGGCAGAGATGCCCAGCTTCGAATCGCTCCAACTGTTCCGCATATTCTCTTTGGATATGGAAGCGTCGCCAGAAGACCTCAGACGCTTCGCGGGTATGCTTCAGCTGGATCATACGCAATTCGTCCGACAGTACGAGGACATGAGGCCGACGGCCATGTGGCATTTTCGCAACGGATGTGCAAGCTCCGAAGCTGCGTGGGTGGCATCATTCAAGAAGACGCGTCAGCAGAGCACACACTCGGCCCTGCATGCGGCACTTTGCAGATACATTGCCTGGCAGGCAAACACAACTAGTATTGAAAGGGCTTTCTCCAAAGCCATGCAGTCCACGTCAGCACGTCGAGGGGATGTGTCCGAGCATCGAGTTGACGACGAGGTTCAGCTCATCAGCCTGGCCAGGAACCTCGGCCGTGCTCGCGCAACTGCACTGCCCAGGCATGAGTCGTTGATTGACGCTGCAAGGGCGTTGTGGTCAGAGCAGTTCGGCCCGCCGCGGGAGAGACCACGACTTCCAGAGCACCTCCTCGGGCAGAAGCGCAAATCCGTCAAGGAGAACACCGAGGTTGCTTTCTTGAAGAAGCGTCGCATGGATGTTGCTGCGGGGGCGTCCGAGTCCGGCATTGACTCTCGCACAGCCTCCACTGCGCGCGCGCGAGTCGTGGGCCAGGATGGGTGGGAACAGGCTCAGGAAGAGGAAAAAAACTTCACTCAGAAGAAGCTTATGATCAGATTCTTCGAGGCAGTTCTTGAAGGTGCGGTACCTTGGGAGAGTTTGTCCCAGCGACTCAGAGAGCACTACCTGGCATACCGCGCCCACGATGCGAAGCTGTCTGCGAATGCCCTGACCAAGAAGACATACAAGTTCCAGAGACCGGCCTTTCCCGACTTGACTGGCAGAACTGTTTGGTGGCCAGAGGACACGCAGACGCATGCTGGGGAGATGAATTTGCGCAGGCTAGCCCGAGCATTGGGCATGGTGGTGGCTGAGTGCCCGCTGCAGGCCCAGGTCCACGTATGGCTACAACTGACCTCTGCGGAGGCCAGGCAAGCTCACTCTTGGAAAGTAGCGCTTCATGGGAAGTTTGTCATGGACTTGGTATGCCTCCTCTCGAAAGGACAGCGTGGCGGTTTCCTCACGCACCTACCGGCCATCATGGTGAAGCGTGTCGTCTATATTTCTCCTGGCTTTGCACGCGATCATCCAGAGATTGCTCACGATGTGCTCTATTTCTGCAAGCCTCACTTTCGGGCCGGGCGCAGCGACTGGAGGAGGGAGCGAAGTCTGCCAGACTTTTTGCGAGAGGTGCAAAAGGTCACAGCTGCTAAGCATCCGACCCGAGTACTGGCCTTTGGCACAGAGCAAGACAGAGCAGGAGAGCTTGGGAACTTGAAGCTCTTCCTCACAGCCTCAGATTTGCCTACGTTGCAGGTCATTGATGTGAAGCGATCCAGCTGCGGATTAGACAAGTAGCTGTCGTGATTGAATTCAAGACAAGGAGACTCGGGGAAAGTGCAGCTTCTCCTTGCAGCCGCCGACTTCCGTGCAGAGGTCGAGCTAGGTGTGTGATGATGTGTACAGTGCTGTGGACTAGAAACAGCTTCGGAGGCCTTCCAGACAAATCGCAAAGCTAAAAGTCTACAAGGTGTCATCTTTTTATCTCTGTATAATAATACCCAGTAACTCAAGAGTCCCTTTGCGGTGTGGAGGGCAACAGTTCCGATCGGATGGGTACGCGGTATGCGTCAGTGGCAAATGCACGAAAGTTCTAGTGAAGAGTGTGTGCGCACCAACGGTCAGTCTGGAGCAAGATTCAGTGCAGTCCAGCGTTCGTTTGCACTCTGAGGCCCATGCCTCCTCGGTGCCCGTCGCAGATGCAGCGGGCGAGGCGTTCTGCTCGGGCCGCGACGGGAAACCCAGGAACCCTTCCATATAGCAGGCTTTGGGAATCTATCAGTCCGGACTGTCACAATCCTGAGTGCTTCTTGCTTCGCAGTTTTTGGTTCATGCTGATTCCAAGTGCCCTGTGTCCATGACGTCGTCTAGCCTAAAGACTCCGAGGAAGTCTGTGCCTTCGCCGAAGAAGAAGCTCAGGTCAGACAAGGCTAGGGCACGCCGATCGATGAAGGAGCGCTTGCAGCGCAAGACGGGTCAGCAGCTCAGCGGAGACCAGGAGTGGATGTTGGATGCCACAGACAATCTGGAGCAGCTCTCGGCGTGGCTGAAGCGGAAGGAGATCCAACAGCAGGGTGGGCTGTCTCCCGTGCGTGTGGGCGTTCTTGGAGACGGCTCAACGCCAGACGACTGCACAGTGTCCGGGCTTCAAGCACTGCCGGAAGAGGCTCCCAACCATTGCTTGTACATGCGACTGTGCGAGCTGGAGTGCCTCCGCATGCAGACCACAGACATGATGGTGTCCATTGCCAACTGTCTCCTTTAGCTCGGGGATTCCTGGTTCCTGTCAAAGCCAGCAGCAGCGATGCAAGCGACTGCAGCGAGTGCGGCAGTGACTGTGAGTGCAGCATGTACCATGTGGATTCAGCTTCCAACAGTTTCGCGGTTCCAGTGGCAAAGAAGTGAGTTAACGTGAGGATTCAGATTGCAGGGTAATGTCTTACTGCTCCGTCTATCGTGGTTTTTATCAGCCACAGACTTGCGCAGACAGGTCGAGCCGCGTGCGTGGTAGTGAGCATTATATGCTGTGGACTAGACAGTTAGTTCGCAGCTTCGGACCCGAGGCTTCCAGACGAGTCGCAAGTCCAAGTGTGCAGTCCAGATGTAAGTGGGGAAAGCACGGAAAATTCCAATGAAGAGTGAGTGCACACCAACGTCTGGAGCAGCATTCTGTGCAGTTCCAGGGTTCCGTTCCAGTGACATTCAATGCAGTTCCAGCGTTCCGTTCCAGTGATGATGACCTTCCTTTGCGATGTTTGCACTGTGAGGCCCATGCCTCCTCGGTTCCCGTCGCAGATGCAGCGGGCTTACATATGGTGGTCCACCTGGGTCCGTGTGTGAGGTTTCTGGGCTTGTTTCGGCCTCCCTTAATTGGACGTTACCATATTTACGAGGTGGCCCTATTACAAGGGGACAGAATTGTTCTTTCTTGGGCGAAAACCACCGTTTTGCACCAGGAAGACCCAATACGTTGCTGTGGGGGACGGCGGGAGAGGCAGCGATCTCTCAGGGTCGTCGGTCACCGGGCAGCTTCAGTTGTGAACTAGAGAGGAATGCACGAGGCATGAGCTTTCATACTTCGCTTGTTTCCAGGCTGGCTGCTTGGAAGAAAGGCGCCGACGAGCGCAGAACCACATCAGGCACCCCGCGGCAGATATCTCAGTTTGGGGGGGTTTCGGGTAAAGGCGCCGACGAGCGCAGAACCACATCAGGCACCCCGCGGCAGATATCTCAGTTTGGGGGGTTTCGGGTAAAGGCGCCGACGAGCGCAGAACAACATCAGGCACCCCGCGGCAGATATCTCAGTTTGGGGGGGTTTCGGGTAAAGGCGCCGACGAGCGCAGAACCACATCAGGCACCCCGCGGCAGATATCTCAGTTTGGGGGGTTTCGGGTAAAGGCGCCGACGAGCGCAGAACCACATCAGGCACCCCGCGGCAGATATCTCAGTTTGGGGGGTTTCGGGTAAAGGCGCCGACGAGCGCAGAACCACATCAGGCACCCCGCGGCAGATATCTCAGTTTGGGGGGTTTCGGGTAAAGGCGCCGACGAGCGCAGAACCACATTCGCGGCAGATATCTCAGTTTGGGGGGTTTCGGGTAAAGGCGCCGACGAGCGCAGAACCACATCAGGCACCCCGCGGCAGATATCTCAGTTTGGGGGGTTTCGGGTAAAGGCGCCGACGAGCGCAGAACCACATCAGGCACCCCGCGGCAGATATCTCAGTTTGGGGGGTTTCGGGTAAAGGCGCCGACGAGCGCAGAACCACATCAGGCACCCCGCGGCAGATATCTCAGTTTGGGGGGTTTCGGGTAAAGGCGCCGACGAGCGCAGAACCACATCAGGCACCCCGCGGCAGATATCTCAGTTTGGGGGGTTTCGGGTAAAGGCGCCGACGAGCGCAGAACCACATCAGGCACCCCGCGGCAGATATCTCAGTTTGGGGGGTTTCGGGTAAAGGCGCCGACGAGCGCAGAACCACATCAGGCACCCCGCGGCAGATATCTCAGTTTGGGGGGTTTCGGGTAAAGGCGCCGACGAGCGCAGAACCACATCAGGCACCCCGCGGCAGATATCTCAGTTTGGGGGGTTTCGGGTAAAGGCGCCGACGAGCGCAGAACCACATCAGGCACCCCGCGGCAGATATCTCAGTTTGGGGGGTTTCGGGTTGAAAGCGGGCCGAAGCTAGGTGGCACAAAACGCCGCAGGGCTCTGTTTTCCTCGAGCAATGGCGCTGCAACCATCGCATGTGTGTGCAAGCTCCAAGCGTTTCGCTTGCACGGCCCCCAACAACTTTTGTCGTTGAAAGACCGGTGGAAATCACCCTGCCACCTGTGACTCAAGCCTACCTAAGCCAAGTTGCTTACGTCTACGGCCCGAGAGCAGTTCAGGGTCATACACAATTCGCCATTGACCTTTCCTTCTGTGGTATTCGAACATTTGGTGCAGCTCAGATTCCTTTGTGAGGGAGTTAGCCAGTTGACTATCACCATTCACCCATCGCACCATCAAATCAGTGGCACTCATGCTTTCCTTCAGACATAACGCCTCAATGTCAGCCCTCTTCTCAGCTCCCTTGAAGGTCATCACCGTTCGATTCAGTTTATCATGGAGGTTCTTGCTGTCGGTTATCAACACCCCTGAAACATCCTTCACCGACTCATCACAAGACCACAAAGACATGGGCTCTCCAGAAAACTCTCGCACCTGAAACCTAATGGCAAACATCTCGTCTTCTGCATCTACAGCCGCATGCGTTTCTGCAGCCGCGGAGCTCCGACATGCTCGGTGTATTTTGGCTGATTGCCAAAACACCGGGGTGATGCTGACCAAGTCTCCTTCCAAGAGTCTCTTGGATGTCCAACCAATGAACACGCCCTTAGTCGATCCACCATCGTCCCTGTTCGAGTTCGCCGCGTCCGCCCAAGCAGCGATTAATATATCTTTTGGGTCCTGCTGGTGTATCAGTAGCTTGTGGTGCTGACACAACTTCGCCTTGCGGAGGAGCTTGTTTGTTTCAATCACATCGGCGACTGTTCCCTTGTTGATTTTCGACAACAGTAAACTCACAGGGGCACACCATTGAGGAGCAACCTGTGTAGCATGCCATGAAATTGCTCCTAGCACACTTCGCAATTGGTGAGTTTCAAGAGGAGTAACCGAGGCTTCCGGAGTGTTCCATCGAGCACGACTCAAGTGGATCTCGCTCACGTTCTCAAGATAATCTGGCTGACTGAGAGCAAAACCCTTCCCATCCTGCTCAATCAACACCCCACACTGAGTGAACTTCTTGGTCTCCCACTGTCCCCACTTAAAACGGTCCTGGATCTTACTTTTTATTGCAGCCCAGTCCTTGCAGTCGGTCCTCCCACCGAAGAGGAAATCATCCACATGGCCACACACGTGACCTATGCAGATCCTCTTGCCAGACTCATCTCGTTCTGGCTTGAAGAAGGACCAGCAACATGGGTCCGACAGCTGTTGCTCTCCTCCAATGCTTTCAAGAAACCTGGACACCGTAAGGAACCATTGGATGGGAGCTTCGACCAATCCGTACGCAGCTTTAGTCAACAACATGTGACTTTGGGGTGCAATTCCCAGGGCCTCACATATTTCAGGAAGCGGTTCACACACCATTTCGCGCTCAGGACCAAACTCGTCCCCTTGAAGAAAAGCCCCGCTGATGTCCCCCTTTTCAACCGTGAACCCTTTGTTTGCACAGCTCTGAAGAAACAACTGTCTAGTAGTACGGCTCATCGTAGGGCTACTCGTGGGCCTATGTTCATACAGAGGATCCATGTAGCCTAAAACCACCGCTCTAGCTTTGGGCTTCAGGGCATTTCCTTGACCATCTCTTTTCAGAGGTTCTCCTTCGGGACTGTCGTCAATCTTCCATGTAAGAATCCATCGCATCTTGAGAATCTGGGACCTGCTAGGTTTATACTTTTCGGGAAGAGCCTTGAAAGCCTTTGCCACGATAAAGTTCTTCACTTCTTTCTGTTTAGCCTTTCTGAACCTTTCTCTCTCTTTCTCATCCAGATGGCGTTCAGAGATTTCCACAGCCTGTCTCCTCAGTTGTCTAGTGAAGAAGCATCCCATATCCCGGCTCCACTCCTTGCCCTTTCTGGTTTTCACTTGAGGAAGCTCCATGGAAAGGGAAATGGCGGCACCTTCCTGTGTCCAGTATCCTGCATCCTCCTGGGGAAACACCGCTCCACAATCCTCCATAACCTCGTCCCTTGACTGGTGTAAGGGCTCCCTGCCTCCTCTTCTGGCGGAAGTTCGTGAGAACGGACTCCT